CTTGAATCCCCCCCTTTATCCTCCCCTCAGATCCATCTCCAAATTCTCAACAAGAAACTCATATACCAACATTCCCCATGCAAAAGACCCTAAAACCTCCAAATCTTGTATATGCGGATAAATCCACCTTTTTAACATTTTGTTACCCTTTGGCAGTAGAACAGTATTAAATAGATAAATAGTGTACAATCCACTGAAATCTTCAACAGATTGTTGATCGGTCATAATTTGCATAGGCCTCCAGTTTAAAAGCAATATATGGCCTTGTCACTAATGATAATTTACCATAAAAAATACGTGTAATGAAATCAGTGTCTCGACCATCCATATTCACATCGACCGGTACGCCTTCGTATTGCAGTCCTATTACGATAGATAATTGTTGCGGAGTGAATTACAAGCGTATAGTATTTCCACCAAACCAGAAGGCCTGATCTTTTACATTGTACGCTTGCATGAGAGACGCAGCCCTATGCAAGTTGTGCTTTATTTTAGGCATGTCCATGTAGTGATAGAAGGGATTTTTCTTCAGTTCTTCATAATGTTGTTTCTTCATCAGCTTCTTCACACCTTCCATAGTTGCTTGAAAAGCGATCGGTGAGCACCTGCAGCCTATTGCTAACTTGTTGCTATCTTCTTTTACATTAATTCCTGCAATTACATACACATAAAAGTACAATTATAACAAATTCAACGTACTATAAAGTTCCACTACTACTTTAAGAACTTATTTCAACAAACCTATCAATATTTAGCGTTGGCTTTGTTGCAACAACTGGACCAGAAATTATTTCCAAAACTGGAGAAAGCAACGCTTTCTATTTTGGGTCCACAGAAAATGGTATAACTTAATAAACGTAAAAAAATTGTTAGCAAATACCTAATACATTATATATTTTGTAACTCACAGTGTTATATGTACTTTTCTTATCTGATCAAAAAGCAACCTAGCTGCTTCTTCATCGGTCGGGATTTTGTTGTCTTGCCACCGGAAGAACCGGAGAAATTTGTAAACATTGGTGGAAAGCCCCTAATAACGTGATCCTTTCATGCACCCATGCCTGCTCATTTTGGAATTACTATTAATTGGTATATTCAATATAACTTAAAATATATTCACTAATAGATATCACTTACCAATAAGCCGATAGTGCATCCATCAAAATACTTTAATCCTCCCCTCAGATCCATCTCCATATTCTCAACAGAAAATCATATACCAACTTTCCCCATGCGAAAGACCCTAAAACCTCCAAATCATCTACATGCGGATAAATCCACCTTTCTAACGTTTTGTTACCCTTTGGCAGTAGAACAATATTAAATTGATAAATAGTGTACAATCTACTGAAATCTTCAACAGATTGTTGATCGGTCATAATTTGCATAGGCCTCCAGTTTAAAAGCAATACATGGCCACGTTACTAATGATAATTTACCGTAGAAAATACGTGTAATGAAATCATTGTCTCTGCCATCCATATTCACATTAACCGGTACGCCTTCGTATTGCAACCTTAATATGATAGATAATTGTTGCGGATTGAATTCCAAGCATATATTATTTCCCCCAAACCAGAAGGCCCGATCTTTTACATTGTACACTTGCATGAGAGACGCAACCCTATGCAAGTTGTGGTTTATTTTAGGCATGTCCATGTAGTGATAGAAGGGATTTTTCTTCAGTTCTTCATAATGTTGTTTTTTCTTCATCAACTTCTTCACACCTTCCATAGTTGCTTGAAAAGCGAACGGTGAGCACGTGTAGCCTATTGCTAGCTTGCTGCTATCTTCTTTTACATTAATTTCTGCAATTACATACACATAAAAGTACAATTATAACAAATATAATGTACTATAAAGTTTCACTACTACTTTCAGAATTTATTTCAACAAACCTATAAAGATTTATCGTTGGCTTTGTTGCAACAACTGGACCAGAAATTATTTCCAAAACTGGAGAAAGCAACGCTTTTTCTTTTGGGTACACACAAAATGGTATAACCTAATAAACGTAAAAAAATTGTTAGCAAATACCTAATACATTCTATATTTTGTAACTCACATTGTTACCTACACTTTTCTTATCTAATCAAAAAGCAACCTAGCTGCTTCTTCATCGGTTGGGATTTTGCTCTCTTGCCACCAGAAGAACCGGAGAAATTTGTAAACACTGGTGGAAACCCCCAATAACGTGATCCTTTCATTCACCCATGCCTGCTCATTTTGGAATCACTATTAATTGGTATATTCAATATAACATAATATAGATTCACTATTAGATATCACTTACCAATAAGCCGATAGTGCATCCATCAAAATACTTTAATTCCCCCCTCAAATGCATCTCCATATTCTCAACAAGAAAATTATATACCAACTTTCCCCATGCAAAAGACCCTAAAACCTCCAAATCTTCTACATGCAGATAAATCCACATTTCTAACGTTTTGTTACCCTTTGACAGTAGAACAATATTACATAGATAAATAGTGTACAATCTACTGAAATCTTCAACAAAATGATCGGTCATAATTTGCATAGGCCTCCAGTTTAAAAGCAATATATGGCCTCGTCACTAATGATAATTTACCATCAAAAATACGTGTAATGAAATCAGTGTCTCTGCCATCCATATTCACATCGACCGGTACGCCTTCGTATTGCAGTCCTAATACGATAGATAATTGTGGCGGAGTGAATTCCAAGCGTATAGTATTTCCACCAAACGAGAGAACCCGATCTTTTACATTGTACGCTTGCATGAGAGACGCAACCCTATGCAAGCTGTGGTTTATTTTAGGCACGTCCATGTAGTGAAAGAAGGGATTTTTCTTCAGTTCTTCATAATATTGTTTGTTTATCAGCTTTTTCACACCTTCCATAGTTGCTTGAAAAACGATCGGTGAGCACCTGCAGCCTATTGCTAGTTTGTTGCTATCTTCTTTTACATTAATTCCTGCAATTACATACACATAAAAGTACAATTATAACAAATACAACGTACTATAAAGTTCCACTACTAGTACTTCCAGTAATTTCGTTCAATACCATCCAAATGCACTAGCAATACCATTGTTGCATATGACACATACTACATTACAATCAAACATTATACTTCCAGTACCCTTTGTCAATACGAATGCACTGGCAATACCATTCAAAGGCACTCGCAATACTATTGTAGCATATGACACACTACATAACCATTAAACATTATACTTCCAGTACCCTGTGTCAATACCATCCAAAGTCACTAGCAATACCGTTCAAAGGCACTAGCAATACTATTGTGGCATATGACACATACTACATAACCATCAAACATTATACTTCCAGTACCCTGTGTTAATACCGTCTGAATTCAAGAGCAATACCATTATTACATATGACATATACTACATAATCATCAAACATCATACATCAAACCCTTGTTAGGACTAAATGCTTTCGGGACAGTACTTCGAGTACCCTGTGTCAATACCATTTAAATGCACTATTAATACCATTACTGCGCATGACACATACTATCGAACCAGTACGAAAATGCAATGAGTCTCTTTCCCATTTCCTATATGAAACCCTTGTTAGGACTCAAAATTCTTTGGGGACATGCTAATGTCACCGAAGAATAATACCCAGGAAGAAAGTGTTACAAAATCATGAATTCTGACAACAAATAAATGATCTTTGCAAGCCCAAACAACAAAACAACAGATATTGGAACCGATTTAATGATTAGGAGAAACACCGAATAAAGTCGAGGCATAATACCCACGAGTGGATATGTCAAAATCATGCAATTCTACAACAAATAAACATTTTTGCAAACTTATGCAACACCCAAATGGGTCTGTTTCCAAGAAAATGAAAAACATATTTAAAAAGTCAAACCTTGTTGTTTACTCTCAAACCTTGTTGTCTAGAAGTTAAATGGGTTTGTTTATTTTTATTTTTCCTTTCGCTTTATTATTTTTCTACGTCTTTGTTGATTCTTCGTTCTTTGTTGTTTCTTCCTTCTTTGTTGTTTCTTTGTTCTTTGTTTCTTCTCTGTTGCTTCTTTGTCTGGAAATGGGTATAAACTGATAACGATGGTTTTTTCTGTGCCTTTTTAGCTTCCTCGTTGTTTGATTTTTAAAATGTAACGGGCACAGAGTGTGTAACACAAACGGCGCATTGGAGCTAGGTTGAAAATAAATTATGTAAAATTAGTATAAAGTAAAGGGTATTTTAGTATTTGTATATTTTATTAGGGACTCATCTGCATGTTAGGTGCGTGAGTAGGGACTAATTTGTTAGGGGAAACTACCTAGGCATTGATCTGTGTTTTGTGTTTTAGATTATGGATTTATGTGTAACTTCCCCAATTTTTAATGTATACTCTAACATTGCCACTAATAATAAAGAAAAAAATGTATTTTATATTGCACAATATCAAATCTATATTACATAAGATTAATATTATCTACACGAATAAATCTTTACCGTTCATCTATAAATACTAACATAGATGTGTGTGTTTTTTACGTGTGATCGAATGAACCATAAAAATATATTCACTATATAATATGAAATAAATCGTCATACACACTAGAAAAATGAAAAAAATGAAAAATGGTGGAAGCTATAATTACAAGGCAACCCACTTCAAAGTGGGCAATAAACACTTCATCTCAAATCCCACTTCTTGAAATAATTAACACCATCTTCAACCAACTTCAAGAACCTAGCTCATCCATTAATGGCGGCGCCGCCCGAAACTTCGCAGTACGTAACTCAGAATTCCGAGCACTCAATTTGCAATTGTAACTTTTTTTCATGAATTTGCTTAACGAATATATATGGATGGCTGCAGGTTCGAGTCAACAGAAACGCTGGCAACGTTTGTGGCGGCGACGCCGCTGCTGGAGGAGTCGTGGCGGCTGTGCAGACGTGCCAACGCCGCCGCCGCCGCCGCACACCACGGGAGCTTTGCGGTGAACATTGTGGGGCAGGTGGCGTACGTGGCTTTCTCCGCCGTGCAAGTGGTGGCGGCGGCGGCTGAGGAGGAGGAGGAGGAGGATCTGGTGGAGCTGGAAAATAGTAAGGGGGTTTTCAGCTCATCATTTGTTGAGAGGGGATTATCAAAACCCAAGGTGATGGTCCACGCTGGCATTCTTCAACTCTTTCTCTCCTTTTATCACAACCACAATTTTCAACAACAGGTTGGTATTTTTATTTTTTTTTTCTTTTTAATCTCTTTGGTTTTAATGCAAATGTTTTTCATTTATCCATGCACATCACCTTTATATATATAATGATTAAATACAATTTGAATAGCTGAAGTTTATGTAACACCTACCCCTTAAAATATCACTTATAATGCTTAAATTTGTATCTTAAATTTAAAATATAACGATAACTGTTTTTAAAACATAATACATATTGTATAATTATGAATAGGGGTGTGAACGAGCCGAGCTCGTCTCTTTTGGTAGGCTCGAGCTCGAGCTTATGTCTATTTTGTCGAGCTCGAGCCCAAGCTCATTTTGTTTTTTCTTTTTTTAATTATTATTTTATTATTATTAAAAAATATTTAAAAAAATACAAAATAAACATATATATTTAATAATATATATAATTATATATTTAAAGAATTATATTCTTATATTTATTTTTATATTTTTATATATATATTTTTTTATTTTTTTATATATTTAATTTATAACTTTTTATAAATAAAAATATATATATATATATATATATATATATATATATATATATATATATATATATATATATATATATATATATATATATATATATATATATATATATATATATATATATATATATATATATATATATATATATATATATATATATATATATATATATATATATATATATGATGGGTAAAATATTATTTTGCAAGCATATGCTTCATGATTATCATAAATGCAATACGTTTCTAGCTCATAGGGGTGGAATCGGAACTGACAATTCCGATAAAAAGACATCCGAATTCGGAACCGTGATTTTCCTTCCAATTTCCGAAGTTTTGATTTCGATTCTTCCGAAATTATTTCGATTTCCGATCCGATTTGAGTTCCGAATATTTCTATGGTTCTTCAAAATATACAATATAATTTTATGATATATTTTGTAATTCCATAATATAACTTATGTTATATTTTATATGAAAAATATAAATACTGAAGGGTTAAGTAAATTAGCACCTCAGAAAAAATTAATTGGTATCAGAAACTTTATGTTGCATTTTTCATTATAAGAAAATATATGTTTCAATCTGTTGTTCCTAAATGTGTGTTTTATTTATTTTGTTTAATCGAACTCTTTTTTGGATTTTCTAACATTTTGTCGCAAAATTTCAAAAAGATAGAAAAATATTGTGAAATTTTCCATGATATCCGAATTTCAAACAAGAGAATATAAACTAATGCGTAATTTTTGAAATTTCTGAAATTCTACCTATTCCGAGGCACTCCGAAATTGGAATGAATTTTTGCATTCCGATTTAATTGGAACGGAAATTGAAACCCATTTTTTACTTTCAAAAAAAATTGAACAAAAAAGACATTTTATATCAATTCCGTCCGATTTTCACCTGGACTTACATGTATTATTATTGTGACAAAAATAGTATTTGAAAAATAATTTTTGAAATGTTCAAGATCAAGTTTGGAGAGATGTCTTATGATTATTTATGATTGGAAAAAATATGTTCTTAACTTTTCCTTCATTTGCCTAAATATTCAATGAATATGTCACATCTTAACACACAATGTTTTGTAAGTTTTCTCATTTTATTTTGGAGAGAATTTTGAAAAGATAATAATTTGTGTTTGTATTTTATTTGAAAAGGATTGATTTATATTGTAGCAGTCGCATTATGTCCAAAAAAGTAACTTAAACAAATAATCTGAAATATATAGTGATTTGTTTTTTGTTTTTTTTTTAGTATTTTGGTGAATATTTTAGAATTTTTTTTTTTTTGTTAATAAATGAACCTATACCCAATTATATAGGTGCATTGGCTAAAAATATACTATCATATAATAGTTTACAAACCGTACAAGAGACGTAACTCATTTTAGATTAACCATGTGTGACAAACTCGACCTAACGACCGTTGGCAAGTGGATTCGAACTTGAGTCAATTAACACTAAGTTCATTTGCTCCCAATCGCTTTGCATAATGAATATTTTATACTTAAATCATATTCGAAAAGAGACAATTAAAAAAAAAAGAAAAAAAAAAAAAAATAACATAGTTCCGTTTTGGGAAGTAGTGGAAGAATTTGAAAAAGTTAGCAAACATTACCAAATATAGCTTTCACCCAAAAAGCCTAGACACTTTTTGGTGGCTACAGTCTTGTGAACTAAGGCATAGTTGTGTATTGTTAACCGAATTGAAAAGGACCTAATGTTATATAAATTATGAGGAGTTAGTAAATTGTAATTACTCTTTTTTTTTTATTATTATTATTATTATTTAAAAAAAATCATTATTATGATTAGTGATGTTATTTCTCGTCATATATACTGTTAAGTGTTAACTCCTTTTCCATGTCTCCAACGGGATATTATTTGAAAAGTGAAAAAGAATAATCAATTTAATATATATAATGAGAAAATATAGTACACTAACATAGAAAAAATTAATAATGTAGTATTATAAATGTTACATATTAAGATCTAACAAATCGAACTTCTATCTTTATATCTTAAGATTTGAGATATATTGATGAAAAATACGGGATTAATAATTGTTGAAAATTGTAGTTAAAAAATTAGTAGAGAACAAAAATATTAAAATAAATAATTCCAGATGTGCCATTAAGGTAGGATTCATCCGATTTGGTTCCAATTTGATAATTGTTGAAAATTATTGTTAGAAATTAATAGAGAAAAAATATTAAAAATAAATAATTATAAAAATACTTTTAGGATTTTTAGAGTTGCCCAGCATTTCTTTTTTTTTATATATAAGATTTGTATTTTCTTTTTCATTTTTCATGTTCTTAAGATATAATAAATTAATGGTTTAACTTGTCAAAACACATCTTTAACTAGAGGTGGAGCCATGTGTACTCTGCGTGGGCGGAAGCCCACCCTGATTAATATTATTTAGGGCAATTACAGCCAACTTCAGAAGATAAGGTCAAATTACGAAACCCCCTTCTATTTGGGTAATTACAACCACCCCTCAACTATGAATCTTTTTACACGTCCATCATTGCGGTGTCAAATTTAGTGGAATCTTTTACATTATATGGAATATTCTCAATTTTGTACCCGTTTTATCTCATTCGAGCTCCACATTTTGAAGCAACATGATCATAAGATGTGTTTTTTGTCTTATATACATGAGATTGTGGTGCATCAGAAATTGCATTTTTTAACAAAACAAGTACAAACTAGAGAACATTCCACGAAATTTAGAAGATTATATTGAATTTGAAACCATAAGGATGTACATATAAAAAAATTTATAGTTGAGAAGAAAAATTATAATTACCCAAACATTAGGGTTTTTCTGTAAGTTGATCTTACCTCAGAGTGGATGTAATTTACCCCATTTTTATACACTACTATCTTATAGTACTAATCAAATTTAATTAGCCCACCCCCACTGATTTGTAATGTGGGTTAACGAGCTCCAATAATTATATTTGTACAATATACGTATAAATTTATATAATTTAATTAAAATACATAAATTTTTATTTATTTTTTGCTATTTTTATAACCTTATAGTATATTCGAAAAAATGCATGCAGATTTTGGAAATTTCGAACAAAAGCAAGTCGATTATATTTACCGGTCACTCGCTAGGAGGCGCAGTTGCTTCACTCTCGACCCTTTGGCTCCTTTCCCACAATATCCAAACCCCCGTTTTATGCATCACCTACGGTTCGCCTCTCCTCGGAAACGAGCCCTTCTCACAAGCCATTCTCCAACAAAGATGGTCCGGAAATTTCTGCCACATTGTGGCAGCTCACCACCACCATATACTTATTCCGAAAATACCCCCTTCGTTATCACTATTCGACAAAGTGTCGGATATTATTATTGACGATCAAGAAACGAAGAGTATATGTATGATCGGTCCATATTGGCCTTTTGGGAGCTATATGTTTATCACGGAAAACGGGGCGATCTGCTTGGATAACGCGACGGCTATCGTGGAGTTTCTTCACTTGTCAATGACTTGTGAGGGTTTTCGTAACCCTAATAACTCATGTGTTGTTGTTGAGGATGTTCTCAAGTACGAGGATTATGTCGGAAAAATTTGTCAGCGGTACTTAGGGAAAGGTAAGTGCATGGATAGCTTTTCTGAGTCAAGCAGTGAAGCAGGGATTGCATTGGCATTGGCTTCATCAGAGATATCTCCTCAGGTTATATATATATATATATATATATATATATATATATATATATATATATATATATATATATATATATATATATATATATATATATATATATATATATATATA